GGCGCGTGTGCAATGTCGCGGTTCATCAAGGTGAGTAGGCAGGCGAGTGCCAGCTCGTCTGCTCTGGCCTCCAGCCTTGCTGCTTCCTTCTGGATGTTCCCTGCCCTCTTCCCTTGGGCCTACTTCCCCCTCCTCCCCTCCCCCCCCGCCCTTAGGCCTTCTTTCTCGTCTTACTCTCACCCTCCCAGCTCTCTTGTCACCCATGAAGCCCGTTTCCCTGTTTCTAGGGCCACGTGCTTTCTGGTCGGACCTGTCCTGCTGTCCTCTGTCCCTCCAGTCTGTCTTTTCCCTCGTGTTTGACTTCCTATACTGTGACTTCCTATGTTACAGCTACGAGAAAGGAAGAGTTTTACTCTCACCCTCCCAGCTCTCTTGTCACCCATGAAGCCCGTTTCCCTGTTTCTAGGGCCACGTGCTTTCTGGTCGGACCTGTCCTGCTGTCCTCTGTCCCTCCAGTCTGTCTTTTCCCTCGTGTTTGACTTCCTATACTGTGACTTCCTATGTTACAGCTACGAGAAAGGAAGAACACCTTTTCCAGGCTCTTTCCCCCTGCTGCCTTCCCTTATACCTCTTCTGTGTCTGTGCTTCCCAGTCTGCCTTCCAACCCTGTTAACAACCTCAGCTGCAGCAGCCCAAAGACTACCTAAAACTCCTTTCCTTCTGTGCGGAACTTCTGACTAACCTCTGTTCTGGCAATTGTTGCTGTATTTCTTTCTGCTTATACTCGATCCCTATTGTCCCTGCCTTTAGTTAGAAGTTAGAAGAAATTACTTGAGGGGCAGCCGGTAGACATGGAGGGTTTAGAACTGGGATGTGTAGGAAAGAGCTGTCATGTGGTTTCTTCCTCTGGCTGCCTTTCCTTGAATGTCATTTGGCTAATGTTTCCTGGTAGATGAAGAGACTTCCTGTTGTGGTTCTGCAGGGGGAGGGTGCTAGTCGGAATGGCTGATGCTGGATTTGTTTGGATTAGTGGTTGGTTGGTTTCCAGCTCGGCTCAGGAGCTGGCGGGTTCCCTCTATGTGCGATTGTTTTGTTTCTGTCAGTGAGTTGACCCTTCTAGTGAGAGCAGAGGGAGAGACTGTGTTCTGCTGCTTACACCGTAAGAAATGAAGTTATGATGACTTTGTCTTTGTGGTGGCAGAAATAAGAAATAAGATGGTAGTTTCTCTGTATCGCATGACAAGCAGTCATGCGAACTCTGTGGCTGGCTCTTTAACTCCTTCTAGATGGTGAACAAATTGGAGGAGACAGAAAATCCTAAATCCACTTCGTTAGTCTGGATGTGAAAATACTGCTGATGTGTGCCTTGTGCTTGGTCTTAAATTGTGTTGAAGATGATGTAGTGACTGTTTCAGGTATATGCCCCTTTGTAAACTAATAAGAAATAATGAGAAATAGTAATCATTTAAGGAGATCTCCAAAATAATTCAGTTATTCTTGTTAGTGTTGGATTAAATGCAGAGGAGAGCTGACAGGGTCTGTGAAATTGGTCTGGTTTTGAATCAGTTTTCTGTTGGCTTCAGAGCTGAGTAATGCTAACCGGTGAGTTAACTCTGCTGTTGTGGAATCTTAGGATCAAGAAAAAGAACACTGAAACGTGAATACTTTTAGAAATCATACTTGAACCAGCTATTACTTTTGTATTATTTTGGGCATCTTCCTTTGCATGTAGACCCTTGGTTTTTTTTTCAGTGAAAGAATCTGATGGTAGGGGAAAACAACAAAAGTCTGTTTTAGGAAATATTCCTAATATAGGGAGACACTTCAGTAAACTGAGTGCAAGAATATCAAACTTCCTTCATGTTTTTTTTAAGGTCGGGTCCAAATATGAATTTGAATCTGGCAGGAAGTGTGCAAAGTATTGCTGCTTCTTCTAAATCCAGATGGTGTTGTAGAGGTCTTAAGAAAAGAACTGTATGTTTTGATTTACTGTTATCATTGATGTTTTTTATGTTTTGGGTTTGATGCATCATGTGAAGGTGGTGGAGGAAGTATGTCCACTCTTTTTTGCAGTCTCTCTGTAGTAAAAGTAGTAGTCCTCATGTTGTTCAGACAGCAGTATTACCCATGAGACTTTATTAACTGCATTTTTTGTTATTATAGTTATTTTTTGTTCAGAGGAAACTTCTTTGCGAGTGTTAAGTCATTGGCAAGTTGTGGAGGACAAATTTTCTTCATGTGTTTAAAGCAGCTTTGTATAGTAGTGGAAGTATAAACCAAAGGAAGTCTTGTCCGTAAGCAGTATCACAGTGTGCCAGAGCACAAACCTGCTGTGGACTTTTTTAGGCTCTAGGTATTACGTTTGCAGATATAAAAGTACTTCGCTTCAACTTTGGTCTTTGCTCAACTCGTGTTGCCTTTGGATCGAATTGCCAGCCCTGTCTGAGTTGCATTCTGTAATTAGTTTCTTACTCTGCACTGTCTCTTGCTAATTTAAATGTATGATTGCACTCTTAAAGTCTCCTGCTTAATTTCTAAAGAGGCATTCAAAGTCCCCCTCAGCTGTGGCTAATATAGATGCAATATAGATGTGGCTAATATAGATGTTTTTTCTCATGTTAAAGAACTTTATTGTACAGTAGAAAGGGCTTATCAAGATAGTTTGGTCTGTCAGTTCTTGGATAATGTATTTGAAAGTCTGACAACTAATCTTAATATGACTACATGTATGTAAATAATAGGGAATGATTTCATTGACTTTGTGTGAAAGGAAAGGTGTACTAGCCAGATGTTTTTTATACTACTATTGTATTACTGGTGTGTTGTTGGTTTTTTTTTTTCCTTCCTTCCTGCTTCAGGCTAGCACAAAGCCAATATTTTTGTATATATACTAGAAGATACTGATTTAATCTCAGGTGTCCTCTTAACTGTGAAGTTATCATATATGTGTATTTTCTAGTTACACATGTAAACCAGATTTTCTTATTTAAGTAACATATGATTGTTGAGAATTGAGATATTAATTCTGAATCTGGCATTTTTTATCTTTTTGAGGAAAATGTTTGGCTTTTTGATAGTTTGTTGTTAGTTGTTAAACCCATACAGATATTAGAATATACTCACAGCACTTGTGTTCTTGTATTTTTATTCACCCAGCAGTTCTTCAAGTTTCTTGATCTGTGTGTGTCAAACATGAACAGTATTGCCAAAGTACTAACCTCTTTTTCTGTGGAAATTCTTACCAAACTCCTGTTCGTGTTTGTTTTTGTTTGTGTTTTTTTTTTTTATATGCTATAAAAATATAGGTGACCGTCTTGCAGAGAAATCTGCACATCTCAAAATCTCTTTCCTAAGGATTTATGCTGTAGCCTGGCTATAGTTGCAACTGATCCTTGCTGTGATGCTTAGTTTAGTTTGTCTTTACAGCTCCATATGAATTTTGAAGTGGGGAAAAAAGCAAACTTTGTATCCTGGTTCAGTTTATTATGGATTTCCTGCTTAAGACCGGTTATTTTACTGATAAAGAGTAAGAGAACTGGACTGTAACTAAGTGTATGAATGTCTTGTGACAAACTCTGATTTGTTAGTTGTTTCAGTTTTCTATTAAAAAAGACTTTACTGGAAATTATGGATGTTTGTTAATGTGAAGCGCTTTACCTGTTTTGCTGGTAAATAAATAGCAAACAGACCACATATGAAACATTGCTGCTTTTGAATGTTTATATTTCTTTAAAAGCTGATTAGTATTTTTTTATTTATCAAATTTTTTTTAACAAAGTTTGCATGATTTTTTAAGTGGGAGCTTGTTATACTTCATTTCTAGTACTATTGTGATAGGATTTAATGTGTAGTGTATAGATGTCAGTTTGACTTTCTAAAATGATGTGAGATCAACTAATGCTAAGCTTTTTCTGTAACATTCATATTAGTAGTACTGTAGTGGTGCTTATGTGTACTGAAATATTTTATCTTGTTCAAAACAGCTTGCTATGGAATTGTTCAAGTACCCACTGGACCTTGGTTTTGCAGGAAGTGTGAATCTCAGGAAAGAGCAGCCAGAGTGGTATGTGCTTTGTTTATTAAGTAATGCTAGTTATAATGCTTGTGTGGATAATATTTACCAAAGTATCTTACTAATAGTAGAAAACAGCTTAGTTTTTTGTTGTAATTCCATGTAGATGGTATTCAGAAAGACCTGTGTGTGTGTTTTTTTTTAAGGGGAAATATGGAACTGTTTCTAAGTATTTTGACAATTTCTGTGGTGGGTGGGTGTGTGGGGTTTTTTTTAGTGTTTGGTTTTTTCCCCCAGCTGTTTCGGAGATTATTTTCTTCTTATCTATGGTTTGGTTTCTGTGTAATTTTGTCACTTTAATGCTTATATTGTTAGGTATGGGGAGGAAATAGAATCTGTGTCCAGTTTTCTTTTACACCAACTTTAGATTGCCAGTTGAAAGCTTTGGTCTAGGAGCGCGTAACCAATCAGTAGTGTTCTTAATTTCGGCATCTAGTGCTTACTTGGACTGTGATACTTCTGATTGAAGAAACATTTTCTTTCTCTGTCTTTTTTTTATGGTAAATATTGGGGATTCAGATAATCCTTCTGAACAACAATAAAAAACCTGAACACTTTTTTTTTTTCCTTGATTACATGGGGCTTTTTTTGGTCAGACTTGTATGTTATTAATTCAAGCTGTATGGTGTCAGGCATTTTTAGAAAAAGACAATCACATTTCTCACTACTTGGCCCTTTCTTGTTTGTCTTCCAGCAAAAGATAAAGTGAGAGTATTTAAAAAGACTTAGCTGTTCCTTTTCCTCTGAAAACATTTTTAGTATAAAAATTGGAAGAGAAGGTATCTTAAGGCAGTGTGTGAACTGTTTCTAACTTTCATATCTAAAGGCAAACGTCGAGCCTGAGACCAAGTTTTCAGTTACTGTCGGTGACTGGCAGAATGTTTACATGGGCAGTTTGCTGTACCTGTTTCCTTTTCTGATACAAAGCACTATAGAAATGATAGAATGACTTAATGTTATGTGAATTTTTGGCACAGTACTGAAGGATCTTATTCTTCTGCTTTTTCCCAACCTGCTACAAAAGTTTTCATAATGCCCTCGAAACTGAGACTTTGTTACTCCTTCCAAAGCAGACCTTTTGGTGGGAGCAAAAAGGGGTCAATTTCTAAGTGCTCTCCAAATATTTGTCAACAGAAAATCAAAACCACCACCCTTTCTAAAGAAAGGCTGTTTTTGTTTTCCTGGGAAGACCATCAGCAATGTAAAGTTTTAAAAGTAGCATTTTTTAATATTGCTGAGTTTGAATATAGAGAATGGGGAAAGAGAGATGGTGGCTAGAAGGAGGATTTTTCTGGTGCATGATAGGAATTCTCATCAGGATTTAGGATATAGTTCTTCCTGGCTTCTCCTGACACAAGGTGTGAAAGAACTGTACTGAGTTCTAAAATAAACAATGTCTCGCTGTGCTCCAATAATTCCTTGAGTTTACCAGAGAGAATAGCTTTGATAGGTGTTACACTGCTTTTCTTTGCTGTTTGAAGTTAAGAAGGAACAGTGATGAACTTAACTGAATTCTCTGCCCAGTGTATTAGATTCTTGTTTCCACCTAACAGGATCTGTTTATGGTACAGTTCAACCAGCTGATTACTCATCTTGTGTCAGAAAAAAAAAAAAAAATCTTTCCCACTTGTGTTATAGCCTAGGTTTAAATGGTTCTCAAGTGAAGCTAGTTGCATATGAGGTAGAACAGACTGAATTTTTAACCATACTTGTATGTTAGTGAGTTAGCAACATGATGGCTGTCTCTGAGGTGTCTTAGAGAAGCCCTTAACATTCGAAAACTAAACTGAAACTCTGACTTCCATATGAAGACTGGAACTTAATTGTAATCAATTTATCAGACTCAGAAATTGTAATGCATTTACTTGCAAAAGCAGACCTACTTATCATCACTGTAGGAGACTGAAACTTAGTTTTTCTGTTGGTCTTTTTGTCTAGAAACAAAACCAGAAGTAAATTAATTGTGTTGGATATGCTTTGGATATGCTTCTACTCATTTTTAGTCTGTAAAAAGACTTGAGTCTTGCGCTCAAGGCATACTTTTCCCTGCTGATGCTGTTTGCGTTTTGTGTTTTTGGCATGGTGTTTTGTTGTTTTTTTTGTTTTTAAGGTGCAGTTACTGGGCAAATAAATCCATTTTGATAAGAGACCAGGGTTAATTGCTTGCACTAGAGTTAGTCTTGCTTTAACAACTGAAAGAGACTAACTCAGGAGCACGTAACTCAAGTAGGCGGGTCACCAGAGAACTCTGCTTGACAGCAGGTTAGAGCAGTTGGCTTCCCATGTACTTTCAGCTGTTATACACTGATGTCTACTGTGTTCTCTTTTTTGTATGTGCTATAAATTTGATCTAGCACATTCCAATCAAATCTGTTGTTATCTCGAACCCTTCGAGCCTCATGCTGGGTACCAAAAGAGGAATATCATGGTTTAACCCCAGGTGGCAACTAAGCACTAGACAGCCACTTGCTCACTCCCCCCTGGTGGGATCAGGGAGAGAGTCAGAAGGGTAAAAGTGAGAAAACTCATGAGTTGAGGTAAAGACAGTTTAATAGGTAAAGCAAAAGCTGTGCATGCAAGCAGAGCAAAACAAGGAATTCATTTGCTACTTCCCATCGGCAGGCAGGTGTTCAGCCATCTCCAGGAAAACAGGGATCCATCATGCGTAATGATTACTTGGGAAGACAAACACCATCATTCCAAATGTTCCCCCTTCCTCCTTCTTCCCCCAGCTTTGCATGTTGAGCATGACGTCACATGGCACAGAATATCCCTTTGGTCAGCTGTCCCAGCGGTGACCCCTCCCAGCTTCTTGTGCACCCCCAGCCCTCTCGCTAGTGGGACAGTGTGAGGAGCAGAAAAGACCTTGACTCAGTGTAAGCACTGATCAGCAACAATGAAAACATCCCTGTGTTAACACTGTTTCCAGCACAAATCCAAAACATAGCCCCATACCAGCTACTACGAAGAAAATTAATGCTATTCCAGCTAAAACTATCATACTGGTACATAGTACTTGTCAGTGAAAGTGGTGGCTTTTTTTTGGGGGTGTGGGTTGTTTTTTTTTTTTTTTTTTTTTTTTTCCAGCCCCAAAGGCCTCCTGGCTGGTTGACTTCTGTGGTAGCCACTGGCTTGAGTTTTGAATGGTCAGCTACTAGTTGGAAAGCAAAGTTCTGTACCTGACAAGTCATACTGAGTCTTGGCTCTAGCAGGGTCATATTTTTGTGTGAGAGAAACTGATTTTTGTAAACCTGAACTGTTTGGATAATGGACATATTGAGGTGTCTGGTAATTATTTGGCTTACCTTATAGTCAAGCATATGTAGTATATAATAAATAAAGGTTGTAATCCCAGTATGCGCTTTTTACAGTCACTGTGTAAAGTTTTAACTATTGCTTGAAAAGTCTTAGTTTTCCCTGCATCAGCTAATTTATCTTAGATACCCTATGGTAAGCTTGGAATGTGAATCTCTTCAAGATGGGTGGCAACAGCTCCCAGCGTTGCCTGTGTCAGCACCAGCTGTTACTACCCTGCATAGTGGGCCCTTTTGATGTCTTCAGGTGTATCTGAACTTCTGAATCAAAAAGCAGGGCAGATACCTAGTGATGTAGGAAAAAATAGTATTAGGGTCTCTGTGAGGATGGAGTAGTATGTAAGGGACTTTGGGCCCTGGCTTGGGAAATTGGGTGGTGCGTATATGTTGTCCAGGGGCTGAGAGTACTAGTATCCAAAGGGAGGACAGAGAAGCTCATTTTAGGAGTTGTAGCACAACTGTTGTTCAAGAAGACTTTTTTCCCTGTCATCCTGTTACGTGCCAAATATTTTTCTCAATCTTATTTTCAGAATTATTTGATCACAGAATCACAGAATGGTCGGGGTTGGAAGGGACCTCTGTGGGTCATCTAGTCCAACCCCCCTGCCGAAGCAGGGTCACCTACAGCAGGCTGCACAGGACCTTGTCCAGGAGGGTCTTGAATATCTCCAGAGAAGGAGACTCCACAACCTCCCTGGGCAGCCTGTTCCAGTGCTCCGTCACCCTCAGAGGGAAGAAGTTCTTCCTCATGTTCAGACAGAACTTCCTGTGCTTCAGTTTGTGCCCATTGCCCCTTGTCCTGTCACTGGGCACCACTGAAAAGAGCTTGGCCCCATCCTCCTGACACCCACCCTTCAGATATTTATAAGCATTTATTAGGTCCCCCTAATGATAGTATGTAGTGGAGTATAAATAGACAATGCATTTATGGTTTACTACAAGCTACTAGTATTCATGCTTATCATGAGGGAACTGGAATAATCCATGCGATAGAGATACCAGGCAGCACAGAGGCATCCAACATTTGCACGGTTAGCTTGATCAGGCTTACTAGCTACGTGTAGATGCTGGTCCTTGTGAATACAGCTCAATTCAGAGAGGCCAGGAGAACTCAGTGCTGAACGTCAGTGTTGGTAATTCCAGGAAGTTTTACTACCTCAAGCACAGCTCAGCTTGTATGTGTGAAGTCAGATTGCTTACAGCATTGCAAGTGAATTAATATGCTGTTGATCTTTTCCTTGGAATATGTATGTTACAAGCCTGTCACTGGGTCTGAAGAATCAGTTCAAACTTGGTACGAATTACTCTAACGTTGTAAAGGTGGTCTTTTTTCCACTTGGCATTTCTGTGGTTTTTTTTCGTTTTTTTTTGTTTTTTGATGGGTGCCTTATGAAGTTGAATGCAGTACTGGCCCAGAACTGGGTTGGCACATGTGCTCGACACTACAGCTGGTCTAATCAGCCACCTGGATTTTAGTCCTGGGGAATGTGTTAAGGGGGCTGTTACTCCCTGTAGAGCTAGCCACCTAAGATTTGAGAGATTGAGCTGAGATCCAGATAAGTACTAGCGTGACTGGAGTCTCTGCACTTCACAGAATCACAGGATTGTAGGTGTTGGAAGGGACCTCTGTGGATCACATAGTCCAGCCCCGCTGCCAAATTGGTCACTTAGAGCATG